CTGGCTGGATCAAATTTCCCATAGGTCAAAAAGGTAATTATACTGGCTTAAAAGGCCTATTTTTCCAATTTCTGCTGACTAGATGTAAGCAAAAATTCTGTTTATGTCAACAAAGCATGCAATTAAGCAGAATGGGTGATGATGTCAATATGGACTTAAAAATCAAGATACGCCTGGGGAAAACATTTCCCAGTTGAACTAAGAGCTAGCCAGAGAAACATCGTCACAAGACGGATCAATATTTCTAGTCGCATACAATCTACCTCACACACCACCCCACACACTAATATACTTTCTTCCTAACTCAAATTACACAAGGTTAACTGAGGTTGGTTTTTAAATTTTTATGGAGGACCTACTGTGTGCCAGCCATTAGCTTTCCTTGCTCACTCCATCCTGATCCTCTCACATACAACATCATAGAAATTCTCAGCTCCAACCGAATCCTCACAAGAGCCCTGTGAGGGAAGCAGCATTTGTGGTTTACAGCTGAGGGCATGGGATGGATTCAGAGTCAGTAAATAATTTGCCCAGGGTCAACCAGCTACTAAAAACCAGAACCAAATTTCAACTGCACACTTGATGACATAGTGTGCCTTTTGCATTCCAGAAACACCCCAAACAATGCCTTCCACTCACTCCTTTCTCTGACTATCATCACTTTCTGACTATAAGTGAGGGAACCCAGAGGCTTGATCATTTCCATCTTGAAAGGAAGAGAGGGCTAAAATTCCATCTCATCAACACACCTCAAGTCTGGGGGATTGGGAGGGCATACCTAGTACCTTCCATACAGACATGTACCTTGGGCAGAGCCAACTCACCAGCCTGAATAAGCCCTTCTGGGATGAGGCTGGGAGACAGAAATTGCTCAGCAATTTCTCACAGTCCTCCTGATCCCCCAGTTCCTTTCTCGAAGGGACAGGACGAGCCGATTGACAGGGTAACTGGATTCACTTGAGGCTATTTATGGCACACCTGAGTCTATTCATCTTCTCGGCTGGGTTCTTTATTTCTTCTCTTGTACCTTTCCTTGGCCCCTATGCTCTTGCCAACAGCCAGCCAGAGGAAATAGAAGGCAAAAGGCAGACACCTTGGCATGGGAGGTTTTAGGAGCTGTGGTCAGGATGAGCATGCAGGCTATTGAAGGACATGAGGTTTGGGGACAATCTCTGTATTTCAAATGCCCATAATCACGCCTCCCCAGAGCTGAATAACAGGGGTCTCTAACCTGGGTTTCATCTTCCTCCATCCTTCACTGCAAACATAGTAAGGGACTAATGAATAAAGAGACCCCTGTGCAAGACTCTCACAGCCACCATCTGCTAACGATCTCTACATACATCTGAGCCACTAATGTCCTCTTATTTCTTTGTCACCTAGTTGTCTAACAAGCTCAAATATCCACTAGGAATATTTCAACTCTTCAGCTGACATCATCAGTTGACAGTGAGATTTATTTTCTCACTTAAGAAAAAAATTATACATTCAAGACTAGAGTCTGGAGAGACAGAATTGCCTTCTAGAAGCTCAGCTGTCACAGGTGGGGCTGGAGCAGCCCCAGGCAGGTTATAGCCAGGTGTGTAGGAACGGAGTAGTAATGGTCTAAGAAAATGGTAAGAGGATCTGTTGGGCGGGGAGCCCTGCGTGGAGCAGCAGTGACCTCGGTGGAAGCAAGTTCCTTATCCTTTGCTTCCCAGGCCCCTGCCTTCTCTGAGCCCTCTGCATCTTGACCTTTGGTGACCTCAGAATTTGCTGGCAGTCGCTGGAATCAGGGACCATCTTTTCAGAGACTAGCTTGGCATCATTCCGTGACTTATCTTTCAGGCCGCATCACAATTATTCATGCTTTGGCAGAATCCTAGCCACAGTCACACTACTCGTGGGCTGATATTGGAGGTGACTCTGACCCAGCAGCTGGAGAAGGAAGGTGCCTTCCTCAGGACCCTGGACTCCAGAGACCACACTCCCCATGAGGACAGGGGCTCAACCCCATCTGTTCAGAAAGCCACATTCAACCCAGCCCTTGTGAGCAGGCTAACACAAAGCAGGAATCAAGAATGGATCCCCAAATCATGGACAAGTTGGCTTTGGAATCACTTCCATGCACGATCACTGTGCACTTGTGGTATACTTCATACGATCACATGTGCTAATCCTGCTAGCTGCCTCCAGGCTATATAAAGACCCAGTCCTTTACCTCCCCATGACCATGACTGAGGGCAAATTTTTTCTGGTTTTACTTCTTTCTCTCCCCTCACCACCCCACATCCTGCTTGTGTTCTGTGGCCTGCACTTCCTGCTTTGTATATTCTAGGTTACTTTAAAATGACCTTACATCCTGGCCAATTGCACAGTAGCTACTAATTGCTCCAGCCTTCCTAATGGACTGCACGTTTATGCACGAGAGGATGGGTTACAAGCAGCAAAATCCAGAAGGCGATAAGCTGGCATGGCTAAAGCTGGATGTCCGAAGGGAAGATGACGGGTTTAATCTCAGACTGTGTGGCCTGGGGCAACTTACTTACTTAACCTCTCTGAGCATCTGTTATCTCATTTGAATGGGGCTCACAACAGCTCCTACCTCACAAGGTTATTGCTAGAACAGTACTGGGTAATGCCCATAAATGACTTCGCACAATAGAAGCTATTATTATGACTTCCAAATTATGGAATGGTTTTCACCCTCTAGTGTCTACATAGCTGAGATCCTGCCTAGCTGTGACTGGTCTGGCCCATCCACCTGACCAGTCACCTCCTTCAGGAAGCATTCCTCCATTGAGCGGAACTGACACAATGATGTATTTGCATTGGTATGTGGTCTTTTCATGGTTTTCACCATTTTTCATATGAATGTTTACATCTCCCCCAGTTCACACACTAAGCTTCGTCAAGATTAAAAAGCCTTACCTCTCAAAAATACCTCAGGTGTAACATACCTGGAGAGCAAAATCCCCAGCACGTAGCTAGACACTCTGAACGATGTGTGAAGATGGCATTTGCTTCCTTGGGTGTGCAAAGCCTTCCCATCCCATTATAAGAAGCGCTCTTGCACAGCAAAGCCTCTCCCTTGCTGCAGCATAGCAGTGGTCCATCAGAAGGAAACACAACTAGGGCAGGGCCTTTCCATGGTGTTCCAAAACCCATCCCTTCCCTGGCTGCCAAGACATTCACCCACGTACTACTTATTTTCCTCACTGTAGTATTTTCTAGAATTTCTCTTTCCCAAGCTCTACCTTGCCATTTCCCTCCATCATTTCTCTCTATCCTGGCATCATCTGCCCCTCTCTGGGATCTGCTCTGTTCAGCCCTCACCCCCACCCATACAGAACTTTTATACTTTGCTCCATCTCCTGCCTTTCAGTTTTGCATTTGGTACTCTGTCTGCTTGAACCATGACGCTCTGAGAGTCCCACGTGGAACTTTCCAGACCAGCTCTATGTGAATATTTCACACACTATTCAACGACATTTCTGCTTCTGTGGGGAACCAGCAGTGCTGTGTATACAGGGATCATCTGTTTAAACTGAAACTCTGTCATTTATCATAGCAGCTTTATTTATAAGCCTGTGTTCTATAACCCTGTGGCATAAATATTAAGTAATAATATCCCTTAGGCAAAAAAATCATTCATATTAACTGACAACTTCTTATAAAAACATGAAGTAAACTCAACCACAAAATTTGGTATCATCTAATTTCAAAACACAAGTAAAAGCAAGGCTTGCTCAACAGGTAGATGCAAAGGCAGAATTACAATGTGCCTTTTTACACTGTCTTGCCTGAAGAAATGAAACATTCAAGAAATAGAGTATTGAAGAAAAAAAAAAAACAAAAAAAACTTGGGCCGAATGGAAAATTTCTTCAGGATCATCCTAATTTCTGCCAATATCTTCTAAACAGTTTTTGGCTTCTTAGAAGAAGAGTTCAAATAATACCAATACATAAATGAAAAGGTTTCTGAACAATGACACTGCTCATTTTTTTTTTTAGCATTCTGTGAATTTCCTATTACATCAGTTTCATGATTCAGCATTTTCGATTTCATTTATTTACAGTAATATATGGAAGATAACACAAGGCTTCTGGAGGGTCCTGGAACATGAGGTAAGCTGGGCCGCAAGGGTGTTGCCTTGTGTAAATTTACTATTGTTTAGAAGAATTCAAAACCAGGACATGGCAAGCCACCAAAGGAACTGAGAAATACTTCTCTACCCGGTTCTGAGGGTCTCAGTTACTCGATATTTAAAATGAGTTGGTTCTGAAAACTAGGTTAGTGCCATTTAGTTGCTAAGTAAAACAGAAGCCAAGAAGTGTGTGAATTTGCAAAGTGACATGCATAATCCAAGCCCAGCCTCTGAAATGACAATGTTCAAGGCGCAGCGAAGTCACCACTCTGGCGGCAAGCGTGTTACCGAGAACTAGATTTCTTTTGGCACCCGCAACTTGGCTGGAGTGACCAAGAAGGAGTTGAAGAGCGCTGGAAACGCGAGGTGCGTTGGCACAAAAGCGTCCGGGCCAAGGAGGGACCTCATGGAAACTCAAAGGAGGTTGGAGGTGGGTGGCAGGTACAGAGGGAAAGAGGCGAAGTCCGGCACAAGAAGGAAAGGAGCTTGAGAAGATGAGAGGGAAGCCCAGGAGAGCTGGGGAGAGGACTGGAGAGCAGTGCGCCGCGGGGCGGGGAGCGATCGGGGGGGTAGAGGGGCTCCCAAATGGAGTGGGGGACAAAAAGGGTCTCCAGGGGGACCCGACCCGGGTCTACAGCGACTCTGGGAGGGAGAGGAACGGACACGAGAGTAGCTCCGCGAGTTCGGTCCAACGCTCCCCTCTCCGCGCCCTGGGTACCCATCCCAGGTGCCGGGAGCGCCCGGGGCACAGGAGCTAGGAAGAGAGCAAACTAGCAGCCGCGCCCCACCTCCTGTGGCGGGGCCCCGGCCGCCCCCACCCGCGTCCCCAGGGTCCGCGCGGAGGGAAGGACCCGAGCAAGGTCCAGTGCTCACCAGGTAGCAGAGCAGGAGCAGCGTGCCGGCAGGGCGGCCGCCGAGGCCCGGGGGGATCCCCCCGCTCGTAGGGGTCATGGCTGCGGCCCGGGAACCGATCGAGGGTGGCGGGGGTTGCCGCTGCTGCTGCTGCCGCCACCACGGCCACCAAAGCCCCGCGCCGCGCCGCTGCATAGCGAGGCCGCCCGGATCCCGGCCGGAACAGGTCACCTGGTGCAGGGACCGGCCCCCGCCCGAGGCGCCACCTTCCCGCCCGCCCCCGGCCGGGCCGGCCGCTGTGCGCGGGGCCACCTGCCACCACCGCCGGACCCGCCGCCGCCACCGCCGCCGCTCCCGCCGTCACCGCCCCCGCAGCCCCAGCTGAGCTCCGGCTCCTCCCCGCCTCCCAGTCCCCGTCCCCTCCCTCCCCTCTGCCTCCAGCCCAGCCCGCCTCCCGGCCGCTCCTTCCCTCGGGCTTCCACTCCTGGGGGCAGCGGGCGCCCACGCAGGTGGGGACAGACCCGGGTCCCGCCCCCTGGCCGCGCCGCCTCCCGCCCGGTCCGCTCGGATCCCCGCCCGCTTCCCCTTTCCCTTTCTTCCCCTTCCTTCCCCTTCTCGCCCCCCTCCGCGCCCTTGGTCGGTGCGCTCTCCCTCCTCTCCCTTTCTCCCACTCTCACCTCTCTTGCGAGCTCCCCTCTTTTTTCCACTTTCTCCCTTTTCCCCCAGCCCTTTCCCCTCAATTCCGCTCCTTCCTCTTTCTTTCTTTCCCTCCACTGCCCCCCTCCCCGCATCCTCTCGCTCTTTCCCACCCACCCTCTTTGCCCGCCGCGCAGCAGCCCACTTCCCGCCAGTGCAATGGGTTTTGTTTGGCTGCTTTGGGGCCAGGGCGCCATTCCCGCAGGCCGAGTGTGCCCCCTGGAGTTGTGCCACGCGGCTTCCAGTCCTTAAGGACGGATTTTGACTCCTGCCAACCTCCACCTGTCCACCTGCAGGGCTGGGGCCGCCTTCCTGGCCGCTCGTTCCCAGCGCTGGCTGCGCCCCACCCTGCCCGCCGATTGGCGACACGTTCTGGATGTTTCCCGAGGGTTTTGTGCTGTGCCGCCGCCGCTGCCGCCGCGCTCTTTGTTTTAATTGTGCAGAGTATTGGCGCCCAGAGCGGGTTTGTGTTTGATTTGCATCCCTGTGCTCCGGCTTCCACTTTGGACGGGAAAAAAATGAATTAATTAGGCCAGGACAATCGTACTCAAGCCCCAAATGAAAGGGGTGAGGCCTTTCAAAGTGCGCAAACAGCTTTTTTAAAAATCAGGACACATCCTCGGCCTTGGGAACGCAGGTTGGGACTGGCTGCGCGCCGACCCCTGTTCTGCAGCCAGGCGATGAGGGGCCGCGGGGCGACAGGGCCACCAGCTCGCTATGCGCCCTGGCTGTGTCTCGCTGTTCAGAAAACTGCTTTGAGGGTCCGGGACTGCTGCTCTGAAACAGTTAACCCACATTGGAAAGTTCGCAGATTCCCTTTGGCACTGATGGATGTGTGCGGATTGGAACTAATAATAGATTGGAGGTCTGCGTGGACACAACTCTTGTCCTGTGGAGATGCCACTGCTGTGGGTCAAGTCGCGACAGGCCTGGGGAGAGGCCTGCGATGACACGGGAGGGCCGGGGTTGGTTAGCCCCGCCTCCTGTGCCTGCACCTGCCCTTGGCCTGGCCATACTGGGGATGTCAGCAGGAAGCTGAGTCATCCCTTACTAATTTTTAGGTCACTTAGGGGCGGTACCCCTGTGTGAGGCCTCTGCCCCTCAGTCCTAGGCACAAGCTTCTCAAACCAACCTCGTAGGAAACGCCTGGAGGGATTGTTACTGCAGGTGGTGTTGTCGCCCTTGGAGTTTGTTTCAGTGGGTCCTGGGCGGGGCTGAGAAGCTGCCTGACAGCTTTCAGGTAGCACTGATGGGACTGAGCCCGTGTCCCCACTTCCAGAACTATTGGCTTACAGGGAAGAGCCCCCTGCCTCCGTTAGCCAGCCTGCCACCACTTTGAAGCGTTCTGGGGCTTTGACAGATGTGCCACTACCCCTGTGCCACTTGCACAGACACAGGCACTTAAAATTCTTCTGTGCCAGGTAGAAAAGTATTATTCTATTGAGTTCAAGGGAACAAAATATGGGGTGGCTTTGTCCCAGATTCTGACTGTATTTTTTTCCATCAGGTCAAAATACAAACTATACTTTTTTTTCCTTTGTTATTTATTATTTTTTTAAGACAGTGTCTCCCCATGTAACCCAGGCTGGCTGGCCTCAAACTCATGATCCTCCTGCTTCAAGCTCTCCACTGCTGGAGATTACAGACATGCATTACCACGCCTGACCAGACTATACCTTTAATGTGTATGCAAGGGAAATCATTAACTGGTTCAGGAGAAGGGGGCTTCAGTTGGCATGACAGAATTTCTGGGGTTCCACCTGTCTTCCTGGACCTTTTTTCCAGACTTTCTCTCTTCCCTTGTTGCACCCAGAAGTCCTCTGTCTTCAGGAAAGGGAATGGTTTCCTCAGGTTGTTTTAACCAGAACTCACAGTTTTCAAAGCTGTGCATGTACCTAAGTGTACCGTGGACAGAGGTGCTCCTTAGGTGCTGCATTTAATCAGGCACTGTATTTCCAATTGCTTGCTCATTTATCTTCTACTATTTTCCAGCAGTACCCGCTATCCGACTCTTGGGGGACCCAGGAGTGGATAGGACCATCTGTGTGTACCAGGAACAACAGGAATGCAGAAAACTGATCAAAACACAGTTTGGTCCTTTTGGACTTTTGGAGAGCTTGTGCCCAGGGCAGCAGGGGGCAGGACCCCTCAATGAATCTGGTACTGCAGAGGGGCAGAGAGAAGTCAGGATTTCCTTTCACCATGGAGTGTGACATTTTGGTCCAGAAGACAGAATCATTTATTACCCTTGCCTCTTCTCTAGCAGATTATTTACAAGGTATGGTTTGATTTCAGGCCCTTTATTTTTAAATGATATCTTTTCCTCATTGCCCTATAAAGGGATTGAAGTTCTGTCATTACAATTCATTGGTTTGAATTAAGTTTTTCTATGCCACTAAAATCCTAAGGCCCCCAGGAGACCATATGAATCTGACCTCCCTTGTACCTGCCTTAGCGTGAGTTAGGGTCTCCCATCCCTTTAAGGAGACAGGGAGAAGAGAGCAACTCCACACCCAGCCAAACACAGAGCGGGAACAAGGCAAACTTGCCAAGCCTAGGGAAGTCTGGAAGGAGGAGCAGCCAGAGCCAGAGACCTGAGTGGAAGGGAGAATGAAGGCCACTTGTCACTGAACATGCTCACTTGTGTGGCACCCCAGACCAGTTGTCCTCAGACTCTGAGATGGTTTCAGATCAGCGAAACCTCAGGAAACAATACAGTTGGCCAGCTACGTTAATACACACCTGTAATCCCAGCACTGGGGAGACCTAGGCAGGAGGATCTCCAGTTCCAGGCCAACCTGGGCAATATACAAGTCCTGTATCAAGAAAAGAAAATTAGGAAGGACTCAACATCATAATAAATAATAGTCCTTAGAGTCCTTAGACAGCACGCGATTTGCTCATGAAAAACTCCAGACTTGTCTTTGTGTCCTTTTACTGTGAGCCAGTAGAAACTTGCATTTGGCCTTGCATGGTTCATGTAGCCATTGGTGACTTCTGCATCAGACTTCAGTTGTTTGGGTGGCATCTTCTCCTCAAGTAGATGATAAGCTCTCTGAAAGCAGGGCAGTTTCCTCACCGCCTCTGTGTGCCCACCCTATACTTCGGGCACAGGAAGTTCTCAGACAGAATCACTGAATCCAACATTTTTCATTTTTTTCTTTTTGCCTCCCTCCCTTCATCTACCCATCCATCCCTTCTTTCCTCATTCAGCATTATCTCCCAATCTATTTCCACATTCAGGTTTCTGTGGGATTGACTTTTGCCTCATCTACCCTCTCCTCCTTTCAGTAATTTCAGTTATTCAAAAGGAAGATGAATGAACTGCAACATCTGCCTTTTATATCAAAATAGAAGAGAAGAAAGCAAAAATGGAAGAGAAGCTTACAATCAGGCGACACCCTCCAATCCCAACAGGGAAGCCATGGCCTTTTCTCCTGTCATAGATGAGCTCTGGAGACCCAGCTGAATCCTGCAGGCCTTTTTTGAATGTTCAGTAGTTAATTTTCTCATGAGCCCTAGGCTTTTTACCTTCCCCGGACCATTTCCCACCTGCCTTCTTTGTTTGGCAGTCCCCCTTGTCCCTTCCTTAGAACATCCCACCACATCCTATGCTTGGCTCTTCATCCTCAGCCCCATCTCCTGAGCCTGGAGACCTGTAGGTTCTTCCAGGGGCCTCAGAGAAGCTGTAGCAAGGGGCACAGAGTGCTTGTGTAACCTGATTTCTTTCCCAGGGTTTATGTGGGGATGCTGCAGGTCTTAGAATCGCTGGGTCTATAACCCTGACATGCTCCAAAATAAGCTCTATTTCTAGGCCTGTCAAATGAAAGTTATTTTTGGCTTTTTGCCCTTCTGAATAGGTGCATATTCAGCTCAATTCTCCCCCTCCCCGAGCTGGGGAAAGCAAGTAGCTTCCCTTATCCAAGCCTTAGCCAAACCTTAGCCAAGCACTTGTGCCCTTAAGCAGCAGCTAACAACAGAAGCTCTCCAGGCTGTGCACAGGCTATTTGTACAGTGGGCAGAGGGCAGCTGGGAAATCTGTTGTCTGGCTCTATTGGACCACTGCTGGAGAGCTCTGTGGGCTGAACATCCCTGGGCAGTGGTCCCAGGTGTCCAGAGCCTCCTTGCATGCAAAGGTCTGATTCCTGCCCTGCTGTACATAGTTGCAGGAACTTTGGCCATCCTTGCCAGGACTTGGGATGGAATGAAGGAATTTTAGGCTTGGGCCCAGAAATATCTGTGGATCTGAGGAAGGAAGGTATATGGGATTCAGAAGGTCAAGGGCATGTATCTTTGGGTGAGTATATGTGTGATAAAAGGGGTACAGTGAATGGAGCTGGGTGTAAAAAAGATCCATTTGGGACAGAGTGAGAAGAGAATGACTGGTACCCAGGGAGAAAATGTCAGTATAAATCACCGAAAAGAGAAAGCGTGTACATGAGAACGTGGAGGAAAAGCTGGTTGTACCTAGAGGTCCCGAGAGCGTTTTATTAATGTATCCTGCAGCCAAACTTGTGATACTTGGACAGGCATTAGCATCAACTTAGGGCTTTTAAGCCCTA